CCTCCTCCTCCTTCTCCTCCTTTAATGGTGCTGGGGATTAAGGCCAAACCCTCCCACATGCTTAGTGAGCACTCTGCCACTGAGCTATACCCACAATCCTGCCACTTAAAAAAAAAAAAAAAAAACAGTTTAGTGTTATTCATATTCATTATCCAATATCTTACTGATACCTATTTAATTTTTTTCATACAAAAAGTGTTTTTAATGTTATTGAATTTGAATTCATATCATTTGTCAAGCTTACTTTCTTCCTACAGATACTGTTGGTTGAAAATACTTGTTCTATTTCTCAAGGTTTCTAATTAGCTAAAATGAGATTATATTCTGAAAACTGTGCTATACAGTTATATAGGGTTGTTATTTATGGTCACACAGATTTTCCATTCTTATAATTTAGAGATATTTGTTGAATATAAGCTATTTGAATGGAATTTTAGACTGCTTCTAAGGTTGCTTAAAAAGAAAATAGCCTCTAGGCTTCATGTGGTGGCACACACCTTTAATCCCAGCTACTCAAGAAGCTGAGACAGGAGGATTATAAATTCAAGGCCAAACTGGGCAATTTAGTGAGACTCTGACTCAAAAAGTTGAGCCAGGAACAGTGGTATGCGCCTGTAATCCCAGCAGCTCTGGAGGCTGAGACAAGAGGATCAAGAGTTCAAAGCCAGCCTCAGGAAAAAGCTAGGTGCTAAGCAACTCAGAGAGACCTTGTCTCTAAATAAAATACAAAATAGGCCTGGTGATGTGGCTCAGTGGTCCAGTGTCCCTGAATTCAATCCCTGGTATCCCCAAAAAATGGAAAATAAAAATAAAAAGTTGAAAGGGCTGAGGATATAGTTCAGTGATAGAACTCTCACCTAGCATGCAGGAGGATCTGGATTCAATCCTCAGCACTTGAAGCAATTAAAAAGAAGAAGGAAACCTATGGAAAAATTGAAAATGGACGTAACTTTTAGAAGGTATGACCTCCACTGTTGTAACATATGTAATGTTTGTGAGGTTTTGTTTGTTTGCTTGTTTCTTCTAAACTAAAAGAGGAAACATAATTGAAAATGAGCCCATGGAGCCCACAGCCTTCTCTTTGTTACTGAGCCAGGCCCATTTTGCCTGATGGTCAGTATAACCCAAATACAATGGGTTTCCTCTTGGTGAATACAAAGCCAATAAGCACAACCAAGAGATAAAAGAGAGAAGAAGGACTTATTACTTGCAGCAAGTAAGAAGAGCACAGGGGATACTTCCCAAAGCAATGTCTTTCTCAAGACAGAGGGTATGGGAAAGACTTACGCGTTTTCATCTTGAAAGGACTTATCATCTGTAGAGGCAGGCACATTCCTGAACAAACTTAGTTGGTGTAATAGTTTGGATTGAGAATGTTCTTTGAAAAAATCATGTGATAGGCAATGATTCAGAGGTGAAAAGACTATATTACAAGAGCTGTAAACTCCTGAGGGGATTAATGCATTCGATGGATTAATAATTTGAATGCAGTACCAGCTAGTAACTGTAGGCAGGTGGGGCATGGCTGAAAGAAGCAGATTACTGGGATGTGCTCTGACGTCTTTATTTTTATATCTCTATCACTATGTCTTTCTCCTTCTGAACTGACATGAGCTGTGCAGCTTTCCACCAAGATGTTTCTGCCTTGCAGTCAGCCAGCCATGGACTGAATTTCTGAAACTGTGAGCCAAAATAAACCTTTCCTCCTTTAAATTGTTCTTGTCAAGTATATTTTGGCCACAATCATGAAAAACTGACTAGCACGGTGGAGACTATGCTTCATACACTGCATGTTCAAAGATGGCAGATCAGATCCCCAACTACTCAGTAGAGAATTTATCATCATGGGCTGGGTATACAGCTCAGTTGGTGGAATGCTTGCCTCACATGTACAAACCCTGGTTTCAATCCTCATGCACCACAGAGAGAGAGAGAGAGAGATTAGCATCATAATCATAGTGAGAACTTTTTTTTTTTTTTTGTACCAAGGATTAAACCCAGGGGTACTTTACCACTAAGCCACATCTCCCAGTCCTTTTAAAAATATTTTACTTAGAGATAAGATCTCACTGAGTTGCCTAGGACCTCACTAAATTGCTGAGGCTGACTTTGAACTTTCAATCCTCCTGCCTCAGCCTCCCAAACCACTGGGATTACAGGCATAAGCCACTCTGCCTGGTTACAATGAGATTATGATGACCAAGTTTTATTCTAGGTCACCTAAAAGAATGACTCAGTGATTTTGGCTAGTTTAAGCAGGTTCCTTGTGGTTTTCTCTGGAGGGCATTTTCTGAAACAAAACAAAACAACTCTTAATGAATGTTAGCAGTCATTTAAAGAGGTAGCAGCTTCTTCCCTTGCAAGCACAGGTTCTTGCCCCTAAAAGTTCCTGCCTAGGGCTGAGTGCAGTGGCACAGGCTTGTAATCCCAGCAGCTCTGGAGGCTGAGGCTGGAGGATCACAAGTTCAAAGTCAGCTTCACCAAAAGCAAAGTACTAAGCAACTCAGTGAGATCCTGTCTCTAAATAAAATACAAAATAGGACAGTTGGGGATGTGGCTCAGTGGTCAAAGGCCCCAGAGTTCAATCCCTGGTACTTCTCAAAAAAACAAAGTTCCTGCTTAGCAACTAACAAAACAATTAATTTTGCAAAAGAGTTTATTCACTAGGTGCCAATCATGTGGAAAGAGGAAAATTAGACTCAAATCTTCCTCTCCAAAGATAAGATCTAGAATTGTGTTAGTCAGTTTGTTGTCACTGTGACAAAAATACCCGGGAAAAACAACTTAAAGGAGTAAAGATTTCTCTTGGTTCATGGTTTCAGATATATCCTTCCAGGGCACACCTCAGTAATCTATTTCCTCCAACTAGGCCTTACCTCTTATAGTTTCCACCACCCTCCAATAAATCCATTCAGCTATGAATCCATCATGATGATGTTAGAACTCTTATGATCCAATCACTTCTCAAAAGCTCCACCATTGATCATTAGGGACCAAGTCTTCAATACATGAGCCTTTGGGGGTCATTTCATATCCAAACCTTGAGAAAGGTATTTATAGGTTCAAAAAACAGAGTGGTCATGAGGCTGGGGTTGTGGCTCAGTGGTGAAGTGCTCGCCTAGCATGCATGGGGCACTGGGTTTGATCCTCAGCACCACATAAGTGTAAAAGAAAGATATTATGTCCACCTAAAATTTAAAAAATAAATATTAGAAAAAAAAGAAAAAGGGTGGTCTTAGACATGGGGAAAGGCAATTAGGGGCAGGGAAAAGTGAAGTAATCAGTGGTCTATGAACATGTAATCAAACTCCATAACTCTTCATTCCGGAGAATAGCAGCATTCAGGTGATCTGTGAGTGCTACCCTTCTGTTATCAAAGGTCACCCATGGACACCTGCACAGGCCTACACAAAGGGTTAGTGGTTTTAACCAGTTGGAGATAGACAAAGGCATCTTTACAAGTTCCTGGAAAACAATTTAGGCAATTATTATCATTAAGACCCATGTATGGGGGGGGGGGGCTGGGTTGTGGTTCAGTGGTAGAGCACTTGCCTAGCATGTGTGAGGCTGTGGGTTCCATTCTCAGCACCACATATAAACAAATAAATAAATAAAGGTCCACCAATAACTAACAAAAATGTTTTTAAAAAAACCATGTATCAGAGGTGTTATTTATAACAAAGCTAATGGGAGTATACTGTTTAGTTATGGGACCTATAAAATTGATGATTAAAAGCAAGTAACTAAAAAGCAGTGAAGCTAGATTGTTTATTACAGTTTTCCCTCAGTTTCATCTGCACCCCAATGCCCCCTGCCACCCTCATGAAACTCCATCTTGAGCTACTAACACGGCCAAAATCTTTATTATTTCTGCAAAGGCTTTGAAAAGTTAATATAGGGCAGCATGTTCTATTCTGGAGATTAATTCTAAAAATACAATATCTTTTTCTGACCAAAATAAATTTTAAAAAGCCTTTTAGGGCTGGGGATGTAGTTCAGTGATAGAATGCTGGCCTGCATGCATAAAGCCCTGGATTTGTTACCCAGCACTGACACACTTAAAAAAAAAAAAAAAAAGCCTTTCAGGCAAAAGTCATTAATCAGTTCAAAAAGAAACTGAGTCGCCCATGTATCTAGTTTCCTTTTGTGGGTATTATTATACAACAGTGCCTCGCTGAGTAACTTGCAACGTTGAGTGCCTTAGCCCTAACATCCTCTTCATGCCACACTCCATAAAAGCAGTAGAGGGTGAACTTAATTTAGCTGTTTCAGCCTTCTTGGAAAGGTGCCTATATCTAACCACAGGAAAGCAAGTAAAAAGGAAAGGCTGTTCGAAAGAATGCAAGATGAGGGCATTCGGAGACCGGGTGGGCAAAGCCCGGGGATGGGGGGCGGGGATGGGAAATATGGTTCCTAAATTGAGCATCAAAGCCCAGGACTTTCCGTGAGTGAGCTCAAAATCTACAAACCCAGGAGACTAGACATCGGGGCGGAGAACGGCTCCCAGAGTGGGAGTGGGGGTGTGGCTAGTTTTCAGTAAACACAGAGCGATACCGGGAAAAAAGGAAATGAAGCTAGCGGATTAAGCGAGCCGTTGAGATGCTCGTCAACACGCCCTGCAACTTTTCAAAAGGCAGCTGCTGCTTCATTAAGAGCACGATTTTATTAGCATGGGAAACCCACTCCCACGTCTCAATCTTTCCGTTGCACTATCTTCCACTTCCAAGCGTACCCACAAACCAGAGGCAGACAAAACCTCTACCACTACCGAAATCCTAACGTGCAGCACAAGAAACTACAAGTTCCAGGATGCACCGCTGCCTGGGGCCAAACACCAACAACAGCAACCCTCCAGAAAAACTACAAGTCCCAAGGTGCAGTTCTGCCTAAGATTCCCGAGAGCCTTTGCAGAAATTGGATTAGGTTGGCGCGGCATGCTGGGAATCCAAAATATCTAGAATCGTACTGGTGGAGGTTTGCCAGTGACGTCTCTTTGGAGGGCCTGAGTTACTGAAGGGGAAGGGAAGGGACGCTACGCACTTCCTGCAGACCCGTGGGCGAAGGACGGCGTCTCAAGCCTCACCAGGTACTAATCTCCCGCCCGTCGCAGAAAGCGGCAATGACCCGGCGGAAGTAATTCCTTCGACTGCCCCGGAACTCACAGGGGCAGGCAGCTGGGGGTGGGGGGGTGGCCCTGGAGTAGGGGCTGTGGCGGTACGAGGGGACTCGGTTGCGGTGGCTGCGAGGCTGACGAGTGAGTGTCGGGTTGGGGCGGGAACCGAGCTGCTGGTACGCGTGGAGAGTGAGGGAGGCTGGAACTGGGTGGTTTCACAGTCCCACTTCTCACCCCTTCCCATCTGGGCGGGGAAGGAACGGAAGCTCTTAACCTCCCGGGCCTCCCCAGCTCTTGGTTTGGGGGAGGGGAGAGGAGGTTGGCGGGACCTTTTCTGGCGCCCCTCGGTGGGCTTGGAAAGATGTTGAAGGAGGGGAGGCTCCCGGCGAGATTGGGCCTTCGCTGGGCTGAGCGCGGGAGGGTGGAGTTAGGAGTATGGCATCCCTCTCGTCTTTTTCTTTTTTCTTTAATCATGTGCGTTCAGTTCGTTCTTGTCTTGAAGTCAGTCTCTAGTCCCAGGAGTGGGTCCTCACTCTTCCAGCAGCGGGACCCCGAAAAGAGTTTATCTTCCAGGCAACTCCTTGGATGATCTCTGCCTGACTTTGGTTGGTTGGGGTTTTCGTGCATCTACATCCCAGTCTTGCCTGAAAGAAGGTATCAAATATAGTGTCCAATTGATTTCTTACTGAAATCTCTTTAGTAGCATTTAACTGTGGAATTTGGGTCATTTAGTGTGAACATTTCTATTGAGCATCTCTTTCAGTGTGGAAAGTAACTGAACTCTTTAGTCTTATTTATTTATATGTGGTTCTCAGGATCGAACCCAGTGCCTCACACATGCGCTCCACCACTGAGCCACAACCCCAACCCAATCTTTAGTCTTTATAAAAAACAAACAAAAACTTATTTTTAAAGTTCCAGATTTGCTTTTTGATCTCCAATTATTTCCTTTTTCGTTAAGTGGCCTAAAATGACAAATATCTAATCTCACCTACGTTATAATCATGTTGAAAAATCACAGTTCACATGTGAGTTAAAAAATTATTGGTATACAATAATTATGTATATTAGTGGGTTTCACTGTGACATATTTGTACGTGTACATAACATGATTTGGTTAATTTCATTTCCCAGTATCTCTCTTTGCCCTGCCTTTTTCCTCCTGGTGGTCCTTGTCCTCTCTTTTACTGGTCTCCTTTCTATTTTTACCAGATTCCTTTTTTTCTCTCTAATATCTATGATATAACATAACAGCTCTTGACTTTCTTGAGTCTGGTTAGTTTGCTTAACGTGATGTTCTGAAATTCCATCCATTTATCAGCAAATGACATAATTTACTTATTTTTTTATTTTTTTTTTAGAGAGAGAGAGAATTTTTAATATTTAGTTTTCGGCGGACACAACATCTTTGTTTGTATGTGGTGCTGAGGATCGAACCGGGCCGCACGCATGCCAGGCAAGCGCACCACCGCCTGAGCCACATCCCCAGCCCAATTTACTTATTTTTTAAAGCTAAATAAAACTCCATGATGTGTATGCAGTGAATATATGCCACATTTTCTTTATCCATTCATCTGTTGAGCCTGGTTACTGTGAGTTGCACTCCTATTGCTATAAACATAGGAATGCATGTATTGCTTCAGTTGACTTTAATTCTTTTGGATAAATACCAAGAAGTCACAAGTGGATTTATTCTTTCTAAAGATATAATGGCAAGGAAACAGCTGTGATTCTTCCCATCATGGATATTTGTTGTGATGATTCAGGGTTCTACTTCATTTTCATCTTGTGTTGATTTATGTATTTATTTTTATTTAATTTTTTGCAGTTTTGGGGATGGAACCCAGGGTTTCCCATATGCTAGGCAAGTGCTCTACTATACCCCCAGCCTCCTATTTAAATTTTTAAAAACTCTTTTTTTGTTAAATGTGAAGGTTTAGCCAAGTGTGGTGGCACATACTTGTAATCCCAGCATCTTAGGAGACTGAGGCAAGAGAATTGCAAGTTTGAGGCTAGCCTCTACAATTTAGTGAGGCCCTGCCTTAAAAGATAAAGGGTTTGGTGATGGCAGGCACAGTGGCACATACCTATAATCCCAGCAACTCCAGAGCCTGAGTTAGGAGTATTATAATTTCAAGGCCAGCTTTAGTAACTTAGGGAGGTCCTAACCAATTTAGTGAGACCCTGTCTCAAAGGATGAAAAGGGCTGGAGATGTAGCTCAGCAGAGAACTCCCAGTTTCAGTCTCAGTACCATGGGCATGGAGAGTAAAGTTTTGTCTAAACTATCATTCAAAAATTACACATTTATTTCAAAAGGAGAGAATCTTTATCACTACTAGATGGTACTTCTGTAAGAAAATTAAGCAGTAGTTGACACCCAGAAATTATAGTCAGCCCCATATATCGAGTTCTAAAGTAATATTAGTTTAGTGCTTTTTTTTTGTATAATTTTCAAATGCTGCAAATTAAATTTATGCTCTTATGTGTTTATGCATTTCAGCTAACCTGCCATCCTAAATGATTTATTGTTCCATTATTATATAAGGTCAGACATAGCTCATCCAGTGGTGCCTCAAATTTTAAAAAATATTTATTGAGAATCTACTATTATTGTCACTGTTTCAGGCCTGCCCTCAAAGAACTTGAGAAAAGAGAGTATATGTATAAGTAATCAAATAATAGTTTCAGGTAGTGCTTAAAGGAAATATATCAAGATTAGGGGTTAGTGTAACTGGGATGGGAATGTCTAATTTTGATAGACTAATCAGGGAAGACCTCTCTGAGGAGTTGATGTTTTAGCTGTCTTAAGGAAGACTTAAAGGAAGAATTTTTCAGACAGCAGCAACTGCAAATGCAAAGATCTTGAGATGTGAGTAAACTTGACCTATTCAGAGAATACTAAGAAGATCAAGGTGAGTGGAACATAGTAAAGGAGAAGTAGTGCAAGATGAGGTGAGAGAAGTTAACAAGAAATAAATAAGATTGGGGCCTTATAGTCCTCTTTCTATCTGTAATGAGAAGTCAAAGCATTAAAGGGTTTTGTGCAGGAAAGTGATACTGATTTATGCTTGAGATGGTAGTTTGCTGGGTGGAGAACAGACCAGCTGGGAAGAAAATGGGGAAACAATCTCATGAGTAGACTTTGTAGTATTCTATTTGAGATATGGTAGCTTGAACTAGAGGTATAGAGTTAGAAACAAATGAGAAATGGTCTGATTTGGAATTTAATTTGAAGCTGGAGTCAAATCAGTTCACCCTGGGACAAAAGAAAAAAAACAAAACTCAATGATCATATGTTTTGCCTGAGCATCATTTGAGTACCATTTACCAAAATGAGGAAGACTGGAAAGGGACCATGGTTTCTGGGAGAAGTCTCAGGAGTTCTATATGGGACTCGTTGAGTTTGAATATTAAGGTAGCTGAGAATATGTGAGAAGGCAAGTTAGAGGTTCATAACTTGCACTTAACAGAGAAACCAGTCTAGGAAGTTAATCTGGAAATCCTGTTTTATAGGTGATATTTAAATCTGTGTACTGGAGGACATCAAGCGAATGTTAATAGAGAATAAGGCAGAAAACTACAAGTGATAAAAGTAAAAAAAAAAAAAAAAACAGGTGAGTATAGCATTAGGAGCACTAAGGGAAAAAAAATATCTCAAGGAAGGGAGAAGGCAGTTGTGTAAAGTTGCAACAAATAAGGTGAGGATTAAAAATTGGCCACGTGACCATGCAAAATTTGATACGACGAGACTCTTGAGCAAATTGATAGGCCAAAAGTCAGATTGGAGTGGGTTTAGGAGTGGATGGCAACCTAGGGGTATAGTTTAGTGGTAGAGCACATTTTCCAGGCCCTGGGTTCAGTCCCCAGAACCAAATGAAAAAAAGAGGATGGTGAGTTGAAGGGCGTGAGGATATGAATGACAAAAGCAAGTCCTTAGGGGAAAAGGTATAGGACTCAGTGCTTAATGGAAGAGCTGACTATGGGCAAGATGTATATTTTTTTTTCAACTTTTGAAACAAAAACATGAATAGTATATGGTGTATAGATGCAGGTAAGTTGTAGGTAGGAAGATAAGGTAATTGAAGTGATTTATTTCAGTGTATTTTTAGCCCATCATTCTAAAGGTTCTTCTAAATGATTTTATAACGTACAGAATCTATGAGTAGATGTACACAATATATTGGAAATAACTGCTCATAATTTTTGCAAACTGAAACAAAGGAATCTGGAGATGTTTAAAAAGGTGATTAGGCAGTTTACAGGGTGAAGCAAACACTCAGAGGGAACATGCAGTGCTCTGTAAATTCTGTATTGTAGCTGGGCTCGCACATGCCTGTAATCTCAGCAGCTTGGGAGGCTGAGGCAAGAGGATCAAGAGTTCAAAGCGAGGCTCTAAGCAATTCAATGAGACCCTGTCTCTAATAAAATACAAAAAAGAGCTGGGGATGTGGCTCAATGGTTGAGTTAAATCCCCAGTACCCTCTCACCCCCACCTGCCCCTCCCCCCAAAAAAATCTGTGTTGTGTGGAGATAAATGCTTAATAAAGATGGGAAATTGAGTTAAAGGCAGTTGTAAGGGCAAGGTGAACTTAAGATGGACTCAGGCATTAAAATGGTAGCGCTAGAAGGGACTTGTTGACACAATCTAGTTTATTTCCTTCATTTGGGAGACAAGAATCAGAAATCCTGTCCCTTAACCTAATATGGTCTCAAGATAGAAATTAAGGGTTTAGGATTCTTTTGCTTCTTATCCATGAGCCTCTAGGACTGAGGGATTTAAGATTAAGAACTAGAAATGGTTGTTAACATTTTTTAACAGTTGAACAAAAATTCAAAGAAAATTTTTATAACTCATAATAAAAATTATGTGAAATTCAAAATTCTCTGCTGTAAATAAAACTTTGTGGAAACACAATCATACTCATTTGTTTACATCTGTCTTGCTGCTTTTGCCTTCTACTCATAGAGTTGAAGTAGTTGTGACAGAGAGCTTATGACCTGGCCTGCTAAGTATAAAATATTTACTTATCTGTCCCCTTACAGAAAAAGATTGCTATCTCCCACACTAAAATGTAATTTCCAGACTGGGAAATAAAGACTAAAATAATGTCTTTATTTTGTCCACAGATTATCTGAAGCA